CCTACCAAGAAAAGACAGCCAATAAAACGCTGTAGGCAAGAGATTCTGCCAGACATCAGCCCCACTCTTCGTAGTCCAGTCATACCAGTGAAGAGAAGAAGGCAAGCAAACACTCCATGTAAACCAGAAGAAGGCATTCCTAGTACCCCAGAGCTCCATGTCAAAAGGCCCAGAAAATCCTCCATTCCCAGCCGACCAAACCTGCGATCTGCTGTGAATCTCTTTTCTCACAAAATCAGCGACTCTGCTCTTTCCCATCCATCAAAACGATTTTCTCTATGTACTCCCAAGAAGGTTGCAAAGACAGCACCAAACCTAATATCTCAGACTGTGACAAAAGTCCGAGTCCCTCTAGGGACCTCTGCTCTTCAGAACATTGCCACCCTCCCAGCTCTGGCTGTAAAGGACATGAATACCACATTTGACCTTTCAGAGGAGGCCTGGCTGATGTCAGGAATAGACAAAACGGTCACCTGTGGATCCTCTGACTATCCTGGCTGGGAAAACGTGGGTGTACCACAGATTGACTGCACTTTCGTAAAAAGGTTAGTAACCCCACAGTGCCTGTACACCAGCGATAGTTATTCTCAAAGCATCCTAGGTAATTGTAGCCGGAACTGTTTGTTATGGTCAATGAAATGAGATTTAATTTTTATTGTAATCTGGTTCTTAGCTTATTTGTTTCAGCAATTGCTGAGGCTCCTTGTGGTCAAATGATGAAAATTGACATTGTGGTTGGCTGCTGTTTTAGTATATTATGCTTTACGGGGGGTTATTTAAAGCAAACCTGTACTCCATTCTTAACACAGGCTGTGAAAATAGTCTTGCCTTCATGGATAACTGAAGAATGATATGCTGCTTAGACTCCTTTCAATGCTTTGAAGGCTTTGACACTCTCACAGGATTCAGGGGTGATTGGCTAGTTTCATCTTCTTCCTTCTCCTTCAGCATAAATCCTGTGACCAAGTGCCATAAGGATAGCCTGGTGATGGGTGTGAGGCTGACACTTCAGCTTGTCTTCTGTCTGAGCTTGGACCCTCTGTCAGGTGTACTGGAGGAGGGTAAAACTATAAATTGGCAAAGCTGTATCATTTTCTTGTAATCCTTACATCACTTTTGTTGTATGAAATCTTGATGAGTGTCTGTTATCAGTGCTAGCTCAGGCAGGCGGCAGGACAGCCTTACAGCTGACAATTAAACAAGAAAAACCTCAACAAAAGCATGTGCCCAGACTCTGCACATTAAAGTATTTACTAAGGATGCACCGAAATTCCGTCTGCAAAAACATATAGGCCGAAAATGGCACTTTTGGCAAAGTGCAGAAAGTGCCATCTTTCGGACGATGTGCCAATACTTTCTCTCCTCCCCGCTGGGCGCTACTCTGTGTCCCAGCAAGGAGGAGAGAAACTGTCACAGGTGGCTGAGCGGTGCGGGGGAGGTGAGACGCCGGCCGCTCGCTGGGCTCTCCTGCCCCACACCGCTCGGCCTCCTGGGACAGCCTAGGAGATGCGGCGGTGTGGGGGCGGAGACAGCTGTCACAAGAGGACGGGCAGTGGGGGGGAGGAGTCAGCTGTGACAGCCGATCCAGGATGGAGAGTGGGTACAAGCACTCGGCGATCAGTGATCGCTGACTGTTTGTAAATAATTGAGGACATAGTATGTTTTATCAGAGTATGAATGAACAGGAACGCTCAATATAGAGGATTCCTGTTCATTCATACCAGGGGCTGCAAAAAAAGAGATTGAGGACTTCTATTTTAAAAGGGAAATATCAGGGGTCTGTTTAGACCCCTAATATTTCCCCAAAGCCACCAACAGTAAAGTAAAAAAAACAATATATATTCAATAAAAATAAAATATAAAAACAATTAAAAAGTTTATAAAATAAAAAAATATTTAACATTTTTTGAAAGGGTTAGTGTTAACTAGCCAGTGTTTTCTGCGCCCTTTCTTGGTTTTTTGAATACCTCGTTCACCTCTGTAGCTGTATGCATTGTGTGAGGGTGAGGTGAAACTCTTTTACTGCTTGAAGAATATGTAACAAATTTAGTTTCTATATTCTGGATGTGTGTAAGGTGTACTTGAGGTAATCCCTGAGAGATAAGACTGCATTATTATAATAGTTTTAAGAGTGGAGATTTAGATTATTACATCCTCTTGGTGATTGATCCCAGTCCATTGAGATTGCCCGTTTACACCATTAGATTGTGGTAGCACACCTTGCATGGTGCTATGAATTGTGCTGGTATTCATTTCAAATGCTATTAAATCAATACAAACTGACAGAGGTTCTAATCCTTCCCCACTATGACTAAAACTAACAAAAATGTTTGAGTTGGTTTTCAACATGACATGACTGATAGAAGTTTTGAATTTTTGTCTCCAGTTCTGAGGTTCCTGTATTCACCACAAATGGCCTTTCTGAGAGGGTTCCAAATACTGCTTCAGTTAACACATCTACAAAATCCTACCCTCATCGGAGAAGGCGTTCTATGAGGTAAGTAATGTAGCCTGTGTGTACACTCGGGAACAGACTGGGGCTCTCTTGCGCTGTATTTTAAAATCCACTTTTAAAAATATTAAAGTACACTTTATTAACATTGGCTGTTTATCATTTTACATGTGTCTTGGCATTGTCTGGGCATGTATAATTGGTTAAATTGGGTGCCTGCTGTCGGAATACAATAGCTGGCAGGGAAAATTCCTTCATCCTTGCTCTTTAGCGTGGATGTTTGATCTTGGGGTGTATGGCCAGCTTACTTTCCTGCTCCCTGCCTTGCCGAATGCCGCTCTGATCATGAGATACTGAGAAATCTTCTGCTGAAGTCTCCAGAAGTGTTGATTTCCAGGGTTTGGCAGTAGGTAAGGTGAATGCCTACAGCTGTGGCTTTCTTTTACAGGTGTGGCTTTATTTGAAAATTTTACTAAAGTGAACAGCATTTTTTTTTTTGGTTTTGCTATGTGTAATGTAGCTTATTGGTGGCCATCTCCTAATCCTTGCAGTGCTGGGATCCTGGCATCTTTTCTCATCTGCGAGAAAGTATGAGTTTGTATTTACCCCAGGGGTCAACATTTCAAGTCCTGAGCTACTAGCCAGGCCTTAAGTTACTCTCCACCAGTTGCCCACCTAACCCCTACCCTACCCCTGCCTTAAGTCCGCCCCTAAACGCACCCTCTTAAATAATCCTATGAAATGACAATGTGACATGTTTTTATGCAGATTATGCAGAATAAAGTTACAAAAATAAAAACAATATTACCATAAAGCTCTCTGCCCCCACATATAAAATAATACACTCTCCCCCTGTTCTCTGCCCCCCACACATAA